ATTGAACTTTAAAACAAATAATAATTTGAACAGTATCTTTTTAACTGTTGATTACCCTGAACGTATAATTCAACTGAAAAACCAATACAAAAATTAATTAAATAAATGATACATTACTAAAAAATTAATTAGATCAAATATGTTGTCACAACCTAGCAAAGCAAAATAATCGTTTTTTTCGATTATGTTGTTTTTCGTAATTGTGGCAGGCCAAAATCGTAATTGCGATTAAAATGCACAGCCCTAACACACACACACACACACTCAAGCACACACAGACACACAGTTCTGTACTGTTATGCTGTTATGTTCAGTCACTGTTCTTATGTTGAACATGGATACATTTACTTTGTAAGTGATTATGGGACGTATTTCTTCTTTCATATCAATTTTCCTTCATACTTTATTGCCGTGAAATAGGTCTTAAATTCTATTCAAAGTGGTCTTAAAAAGGTGTTAAAAAGTCTTAAATTTGAGTTGGCGAAACCTGCAGGAACCCTATACAATAAAAAGTCCTGCATTCAAAATGTTACAAGTAAAAGTAGAAAAGTATTAGCATCAAAATATACTTAAAGTACCACCTGCAGAGGGATCTAGATGCAGGTGTTCTCTTCCCCATAGAGACCGCCTGGCTGCACATTATCCCTTGCATAAAGATAGATTGTGGGTCCCTTATAACATGTTGTGCACAGTGGAAATAAACATTCTGGTTACCTCAACATCAGGGATCTTATACATTAAACTCCTTCTGAATCAAACTGTCACGGTAGCCTTACCTTACTGATCCCTCTTCAAATAGAAGAAAACACGTTACTTTACCAGCAGAGAGAAAATGGATTATTAAATTATTAATGTGACTAATAAAGAGCAGTTTGATTATTAAGTATTATTCTATTGATCGATGTCATTACATTTGGTGAAAAGCACACAATGACTTGTTTAAGACTCGTTTTGTCAAAGTTTAGGACTTGACTTGAACTTGCCCAACCTGACTTGAGACTTGACTTGGACTTGAGCGTAAAGACTTGAGACTTGACTCGGACTTGCAAAACAATGACTTGGTCCCTCCGCTACTTTGTACTTCTAGGCAAGGCAAGGCAAGTTTATGTATATAGCACTTTTCAACACAAGGCAATTCAAAGTGCTTTACAAAAAATAAAAGACATTAAAAAATGGCATTTAAAATCAGTCATTAAAAAGAAAAGCTAATAAAATAAACATTAAAAGAAAAATACATGGAGTTCAATTAAACATTAAAAGAAAAAATACATGGAACTCCAATACAATTCAGAGGTAATTCATGTACATTTACTCCACTACATTTATGGAGTACTTTCTGAAATATAATCAATACTTAAGACATTAGTTACACCTGGAGTAAATCACAAGCTACCCTGCAGAATACAAAGTAATTAAAAATAGATGCACCTTTAATAGCTGTGATAAACACAAATTAATGCCTCAATAATTATAATAAAAATATACATATAGTATTCTGAAATGGGCCAATCTGCATAATAAGTATGTTTACTTTTGTTTCTGTAAGTATAGTTGTATGCCAATACTTACTTGTAACTTGTAGTATTCCTACACTCGGGTACTTCTACTTTTACTCAAGTACAAAATCTGAGTACTTCTCCCACCTCTGCTACTGTAAGTAGTCTACATTAACTCAATGAGTGATCTTCAATTTTGAGTCTGTTGCGAGTATTTCCTTTCTCTGCTTCTTTATTCTTTTAGGCCTACTCTACTACATATTATACTGTATATAAATATTGTATTTCTTACTCCAATATTTTTGTTTGATAACATTGCTGATTTACAAGATTCAGATTATTAATATCTGTTATTATTAGGATAGACGTTATTGATCCCTTGTAACTCTCAAGCTACCCGGCAGTTTATAAAGTTAGATTTGATTTGTTTTATTGGAATTATGGTGCTTATACTTTCGTACTGTTAAACTGTGACAGAGTATTTGTACAATCTGGAAATAAGTTTTCTGAAGGAAAATATCTGTGTACTTTGTCCACCTCTGCTTACAGTATATGCAATGTAAAATATGAGACTATAATACAGAAAGTATTCAGGAGCATGGCATGGCAGGTAAGCAGCGTTTCTTTTTTATTACATATAATCCACTTAAGTCTTACAGTGTGCTGTAACGTTTACATATTTTCATAAAAACATTTTTGAATAATCCCTAAATACCTGCATCATTGTTTTTAATAAAACACAGTTTATCCTAATATAGAATAAGGATGATGCAATGTAATAGAAACCAGGTTGACATTTCAGTTCATGACTGTTGAGCGGCTTTCGCTCACGTAAAGGAAAGTGTGTTCATTGTTTACCATTTTAATGGTGAGTTTTCCTATTTAAGCCCAGCCTGAAGACAATTGTTATCCCTCTTTCAGACGAGTTTGAGTTGCTCTTTGTTTTTCTCTGTTTTCAGCAGGTTTCTTACCAGATTTAATAAGCATGCATGCTGTTTTAAAACCAATTATAATGTACATAAGCCTTTATTTGTGAAGATAACTAATGACAGCTATAATTCAAAGTGACGCTTTCCTTTTACAAACCAGTGACACACTATTCCTCCCCAAATAACTATTAAGGCCTGTAAAGTGGAGAAAAGTTTAATTTCATGTCGCTTTAATTGTAGAACAAATTAGCCAAAACTATAAGTTTCACAAGGAAATCAGAGATGCATTGTGACAGCACAGCATTTTGTTGTTAGTGCTGGCATTATTGTATTTTGTGCAAAACATAAAAGTCATCATTTGCCAAAACCAAAGGAGCTGAGGCGTGAGCCAGTAAGAACTCAGAATGCAGACTCCAACAATTTCTCTAACCAGACATGAGACATAACATTGACATTATCTTCATATTAATTGTACATGGCATTTATTCAAATCTATCTCTATAAAATGAGCATCGGCACCTCATGTAGTCATAAACCTCAGCAGGAATCACATAAAGAAGGAGGGGAATTTATATTCCAAATGTAATGTAATACAATTAAATGCCATGAAGATGAGGTTTCCTAACTTTATTGAACAAGTGTGTGAATCTGTACAGGCCCAAGCTGTTGTCGTTGTGCTGACTTTCTGAACTCCCATATCCTCCATAATTCAGAAATTAAAGAGGCAAAAGTTAATCAAGCAACAAGAGATAACGCAGTACTAAAGCTGACTCAAGATTTTAAGCCCAGACACTACAAGGGAAATCTTAAGGTTTTCCTCCGATTGGTGTATATTTTATGTCTAGAGCAAAACACCCAAAATACTGAGTCAGTAACCTGGCAAGACATCAAAGTGTAGATAATGTAATAACCTGATATTTTCTGCAGCCTTCTGTTTTAAATGCTGTTATTTTGTTTCTTTGTCATTATTACATCTTATTACAGAAATACATAAAAATGAGTGCGGAACTTTTTTCCATTTTATGCTACTTTAAAAGGCGCATTCACACCGCAGTACTTTTCCCACAAAGGTTCATGAGAACTTAGTTCATGAGAACTCTTTTGTCGCGTTCACACCGAAAAGAGCCGGTGTTGTGTCACATTATGCCTCCCCGTCATGAAATGCCCCCCTTGTCACGGGAACGCGCATTTCTAAATGACACGTTTACACCTCTAAATAGGCGCTTTCACACTGCGGTAATTTTCCCACAAAGGTTCATGTGAACTTAGTTCATGTGAACTCTTTTATCGCGTTCACACCAAAAAGAGCCGGTACTAAAATTAGTTCATGTGAACCTTTTTACCCCCTCGAAAGTCCCTGCTAGAGAGCAGGGACTTTCGAGCGGCTCTTTTGTGAGAAAAGAGCTATATTTCTGATTGGCTGGAAGGATTGCAAACCACGCCCCGCAAAACTCCCAAAAAGTTTTGTGAAGCCGCCATTTTATTATCCTCGCATTAGCATTATTAGCATTAGCCCAGCGTAGAAACGCAGAGAGACTAACTTATGGCAACACAAAATAAAACATGGGAGCGGTGGAGATGAGGAGGTGTCGGCGTTCTGGCGATTTACTCGGAAGGCTTCAGTAGAAGCTGCTGGGAGTCCCAGCAGCTTCTACTGAAGCCAGTCCCTAACTCCGGGGACTTCCGGCCGGGGACTCCGGGTGGCAGCATACGCCGTGAAGTGGTTTGCGGCCTGCCAGTAAACCCAAAGCAGAAGAAGAACAAGTGACGTCAGTGGCTTCATTTGCCTAATCCACCCCCAGGGACTTTTTACAGTGTGAACGCGATCTGTACTTAGTTCATGCGAACTAAAGAGTTCACATGAACTAAGTTCACATGAACCTTTGTGGGAAAAGTACCGCAGTGTGAAAGCGCCTAATGACACGTTTACACCATAGGTTTACACCTTAAAACGATGTTTAAAACGAAAAGTAAACGTTCAGGGTTTTTATTAATGGTAATTTTCAGACTGTGAGTTGTTTAGTGGTAGCTCATAGTCTTGATTCTTCTGGTTTAACTTTTCGCTCCGTATTTGAGGTGTCGAAATTCATTCGTCACTTCCTTTTCAGTTTTTGTTTTTTTTAATCTTTTTTTTTATCATTATTGTTACATCCTGTCTGTATAAACGTGCTTTAAAATGTATTGTTTAATTTTACATAGTTGTCATCTAATAATCAAAATATATGTTTACAAATGTTACATAGTCTTTGTCAGCATATTATTATATATACGCTATGCGTACAAAATAAAAGTGTGACATTCATGAAACTTGCTCCATTTATTGGTACCAGTCCTAGAACCATACCCTGAAAAATGCTTGAGGGTGGGATTCATAGAAACCTCTTTTTTTGGGGGGGGGGGGCATTTTATGACAGGCCTGTCCATCACAATATGCCCCCCCTTGCTATCTTACAAAATAAAAGTGTCACATTCATGAAACTTGCTCCATTTATTGGTACCAGTCCTAGAACCATACCCAGAAAAATCAACCAGCGCAATGACGGTCAAGCAGCTGTTATTGACAGCTAAGCTATGACCGCCATCTGGAAACACAAATTTGGAAGAATCCGGGTATGTACATGATTGGAATGACTTTGCATTTGTAAATGTTGCAAATGTGCATTTTTCAACAGGAATGTAATACTTTTGCAACTACTCTCAGGTTGATCCAATGGCACACACAGTCATCGTGGGAATTGTGAACGAGAACCATCACTGGATGTTGGTGGTGAGAATAGAAGCATATTTTAAGCTCCAATCTGTATCTATAATGCTGTATACACCATATATAATTAGTGATTTGCAAGATAACCGGGCCACACATACATGCTGTCACTTATTATTGATCTAAACAATACCCTACATCGTACCTGCCTAATGTATGGTTCCTGCCTAATGCATGTTGTGTTTCCATGTGAATAATAAAAGGTAATGTACCCCCATGAGAAGAAAACCCTCTTCTTGGATCCACTTGGAGAAGGGAAAGGCAAAATGAGGGTGTGCCTACAGTCTACAAGGTACATTTGATACAGTGTACTAGTTCCGGTGTTGTATGAGTTTTTTGACAATGATGTGCTGCATCTTGACACATGTACTATCTACATACTGTAGAGCAGGGGTGCCCAACCAGTCGATCGCGATCGATCACGGGGAGATTCCCAGTCGATCGCGAGATGTGTCTAAAAATAGAACAACAATATTATGTTGTATCGTTAATGTCCTGTAACATAATCTTCCTGTCCAGAATAATGCACTTGAATGCATCAAAGCTTTGTGATTGGCCGGCGTGACCCCATGTATCGGGGCGTGGCTGGTGAGCAGTGGGAAGTGTGCACTAGTTCGCTAACGTTGTTGGTGTCAAGTGTCAACAGGAGTGACAGTCCGCACACACACAAGACCGCAATTATGGCAGAAGCAAAACATATATAATTTTCACTCCGAGTGGGAGGATGATTATTTTTTTATCTATTCCAATTCAAAGTCCATCTGTCTCATCTGCAATGTGAGCGTGGCTTTATCGAAGAAGGGTCATTTAGGAGCGGCATTTCAAAACAGTGCACAAACGCTACGAGACGGGATTCCCTCCTGCCCGACGCTCCCAAAAGGGGAGGGGCCTGAAAGGACAGCTAAATGCACAGCAGTCCATTTTCACCAGGCCCAACAACATAGCAGGCTTGTTTGAGACAAGCGAGACCTGCGCAGACCTGCGCAATTTCGATCAACGTCTTGCTCGTGCGTTGCATGATGGTTAGTCATTTTGTCCGACTTGCTCTGGAGGCCCGCCTACATGAGACGTTGAAATCTCGCGGGACAAAGACGCCCGCAGCCTTGAGAGCGAGGCGCGGCGAGGCGGCGCAGTTCCTCTCCACGGGCTGCGGAAGCGTGATGGGAAACGACTCGCTGGTATCTCGAGCTGAGCGCTCATTGGTGGTTTTTACCACGTGCTGGTGATGAAACTCTCCAATTGGCTCGGCAAACGTTTGTTGTTGTCTTGTGTCAGTTTTACGTCGCCACATCCATTCCCATTTTTCATCATTGTTCCACAATATTTATCATCATTAAATTAATATCCATATATTTTATACTATACTTGCACTGCTTACCGTTTTCATACTTTATATATCTTAGCATATTCATACACACTGTTCATACTGCTCTCAGGCTGCTGTGTATATCTAGTGTATTCATACCCCTCACTGTTTATTCATCATTCAATTAATTCTATATTTTATTCTGTAGATTGTGTACATTACTTTTCACTTTACTGCTTTTTGCACTCCTGGTTAGAAGCTAAACTGCATTTCGTTGTCTCAGTACCTGTAATATGTGCAATAACAATAAAGTTGAATCTAATCTTGAGCAGGAACAAATGTATTTACTTAGTACATATCTGACATTAACGATTAAACACATGTGTGCATTCTTTATAAATGCAAACCGAGTCAAGCCGACTCCGGAGGTGGCGGTATGCACCTCAAAGTTGTTTGCAATCCGCCAAAAAACCGAGAGAAGAAGAAGACGAAGACGAAGCCGACTCCGAGCTGTCCGACTTCAGGCGAGCTTTTTGAGACCTCCCCCGGCTGCGATCGGCTATTCTCGTCTACTTTCAAGGCGAGCCGCAACGCGTCTCAAACAAGCCTAGCATCTTATCGTGTCAGTCACACATGAAGTCTTTCAAAGACGGCGAAGTTGTGAAAGAAGCATTCCTGGAGGCTGCCGATGAGCTTTTTGGGGACAGTAAAAATAACAGTAGCATTTCAACAGGTTTTTGATATAATAAAAACTCAAGTTAGATACCATTATTAATCTGCTGTAAGTTTTAGTTTGTTTGAACTTATTCATTATAATTATTGTACAAAATGGTATAAGAATGCAAACTTAAATTGATTATAGTCTATTATCAATTCAGTTTAAGAAACTAGTGTTGCTTGCATCCTATTTTAAAGGCATTTCTTTTTATAATCGACTAAAATGCAACAAAAAAAGGGTTTGATTCTATTAATTTTGTCTTTTTTATTGCACTGTTGCAGCAGATTCCTGTGTAGCTTCAGATCTGAGTTGTCTTAGTTGTGTAAGCCTAATTTATACTTTTGTAGCAACACTATTTTTATATAATGGCAAAGAAAGGGTTCAGAGTCTTTTCTTTTTTTCCAGTGTCATATGTGGCAGCACTGCTCAATGTTTCTTGAAAACATTACCCACTTGTAGTATGTGACGTGTGAATAAACTCCAACTCTGTATCAACAACACTGTTGTGTAACTTCAGTTAAATACTTGTGTGTGTGTAGATTAGAAAAAGGTAAGATAAAGGATCTGCAGTATTTTATGAAGTATTCATCGTACAAAGGTCAGTTTTATACAAGTAGAAGTGTGTATTTACCTGGTAGTAGGCTGTCAGTAATGGCTACGCCTCTCTATTTGGACTGGTAGATCTCGGCAGACTGGCAACTTTAAAAGTAGCTCTCGGTTCAAAAAAGGTTGGGCACCCCTGCTGTAGAGCCTTTATGAGGATGAAAGGCTGCAAGGTGTCAAGATGGACATGCAGCACCCTCCCCCATAATCGCCAACAAGACTTAAAAGTGAGTGTGAAATGCATTTAGCCAAACATTACTCTCAAACTCAAATTCAATAGCAATTAGACTGAATATCTTGACTTGCTTTTATACATCTTGATCAAAGATGTATTGAATTGTGTCAAACTACACATATACAACATGTCATTCTTTAAATCTGTTGGGTCATTTGTCTGTATTCCATTTGAGGGTAAAATCATAGACCATGCAGTCCATATACTAATCAAGGTTCTCTTCAGTTTGCAGAGAAGATTTTACTGGGGGAGGCAATTGAGTTTGAAACCTCACAGAAGGCAGTGCACGAGCTGAGGCTGGACATTGCTACTTCTCTCCTCAGAGAATCTGGTTTGTTACCTTTTCTCAACATTGTCAATGACTTCATGTAGTTACTTTTATTAATTGTATCTCATAAGTATGCATCAATAACCTAGTATATGAATAATGTGCCATGCAAATTGTTGTATTGTATCACTGCTTGGACCATTGGTACTGTTGGGTTAATATTGACCAGGGACATTATCAGGGTTTTAAAAGCAACACAGTGGCTTAAGTATAGATTAGGGTAAATAGTCACTACATACAGTATATTGTGTATCTCAACTCCAAGCAGATAACATATGAAGCATCGCAGGCAGGCATCTTCAACTGCAATTTCATATAGGCTACACACGTCACACTCTAACACACCCTTTCAATTCTGCGGTTTATTTAAGATGTGAGATTTCCCCATCTTCCTCCTTTCAATGTGCTCATTGGTGTGTATTACTTTTAACTGATATCCTCAGTTAATTTTTACCTTGAACTTATTATAATCAAAGCTGTAAAGCTAATGTGATGAACAACAAAAGAACCATGAGAACCAAACTTAAATTGATGCGTACAGTGCGAAAGAAGTTTTTGGATGTTTTGTAATGACATTGTGCAGGTTCCCATTCTACAGAGGGTAAGGAGAGTGTGAAAGAAGGAGCAGATGGCTCCTCTGTGCTCAGATTTAATAATTTAGAAAATCTATGTGTTTGTGTGTGTTTTGCCTTTTCTTCACACAAAATAATAAAAGACCACAACAAATGTGTCCTTATATAATTGACCTTTTAGTCAAAAATTGGAATGGGTCACCTTGACCCCAAATCTGCAATGTGGTTTATCTGAAGATATTGATTACGTTTTGTCTCAACAGATGATCTAAGCAGGCTTTGCTTTTACTGCGGGATGGAGGAGCAGGATGAAGAACATTGGGTAATTTCCTATTGCACATTACAAATAAAGAAAATTAGCAGAAATATGTTTCCAGACTTTATCAACATAACATTTGCGTTGGTAATTGCTACTATATTTGGCATCTTCAGCATTAACTGATAAAGGATTAATGATTTGCTTGTTTTTCCATACATTTTTGTTGAAAATGTATTTCTTTCTCATAACACAACATTTATGTTTTTGAAAGATTTCGATTATTGAAGGAATGGTTAGAATGTTAGTGGGAAATACATTAGAGATATTCTATTATCATAAAAATAATGCATACCTTACATAACAAGTATTTATTGTTTTCTCAGATTTGCTGTGACATTTGTCAGTGGTGGTACCACCACCAATGTGTACAAAGGCCTCCAGTGGATCAACCGTACTTGTGCCCTGGATGCACATAATGCCCCGAAGGAACCATCATTAACTGTCCACTGTCATTTCAACCAATGCAACTATTGTTTGGCCTGTCATAAAATGCACCCCACCCCAAAAGATGTTTCTATGAATCCCACCGTCAAGCATTTTTCAGGGTATGGTCCTAGGACTGGTACCAATAAATGGAGCAAGTTTCATGAATGTCACACTTTTATTTTGTAAGATAGCAAGGGGGGGCATATAGTGATGGCCAGACCTGTCATAAAATGCCCCCCCCAAAAAAGAGGTTTCTATGAATCCCACCCTCAAGAATTTTTCAGGGTATGGTTCTAGGACTGGTACCAATAAATGGAGCATGTTTCATGAATGTCATACTTTTATTTTGTAAGATAGCAAGGGGGGGCATATTGTGATGGACAGGCCTGTCATAAAATGTCCCCCCCCCAAAAAAAGGGGTTTCTATTAATCCCACCCTCAAGCATTGTTCAGGGTATGGTCCTAGGACTGGTACCAATAAATGGAGCAAGTTTCATGAATGTCACACTTATTTTTGTAAGATAGCAAGGGGGGGCATATTGTGATGGCCAGGCCTGTCATAAAATGCCCCCCCCCCCAAAAAACAAAAGAGGTTTCTATGAATCCCACCCTCAAGCATTTTTCAGGGTATGGTTCTAGGACTGGTACCAATAAATGGAGCAAGTTTAATGAATGTCACACTTTTATTTTTGTAAGATAGCAAGGGGGGGCATATTGTGATGGACAGGCCTGTCATAAAATGTCCCCCCCCCAAAAAAAGGGGTTTCTATTAATCCCACCCTCAAGCATTTTTCAGGGTATGGTTCTAGGACTGGTACCAATAAATGGAGCAAGCTTCATGAATGTCACACTTTTATTTTGTAAGATAGCATGGGGGGGCATATTGTGATGGACAGGCCTGTCATAAAATGCCCCCCCCCGTATGTAATATTTTCTTTTGTTCTTAAATTTCATGACAGAAATGGAGAGCTTTTATACTGAGTTTGTAGGTCGCCAAGTTGGCATCATTGACAGTTCGTCTCTTAAAGCCTCTAAAGCTCTGCAACAAAAAAGGATCATTATGAATGTAAATACTATACATGGTAATGCAGCAGGGAAGAGTGCGATGAGGCAGGCAGGCAGAACCAGATTTATTTCTAAATATTTGTCGATCAATATTAGGCTACACTAATATAAGGCTACTAGTATTATAATAATACTGCAATAATATTCCAGTGGTGGCTGCTTAAGGTTGTTTCTGGCTCGTTTGATCCAAACATTGTCCAAAGCTCAAAATGTATTGTAATAGATGTAAGAATTCTCAACATGTACAATATGTTTTGATCCAACACAATATTCTGATTCAATCCATATATGTTAGGGGTTTTTTTAAACAATATTTTCACCACAATAAATAGACTGCCTTCTCTCCAGCTCACCGCACACAAAGGGGGGGGGGGGGGCATCTGTATTAACGGGTCAGTCTATAAGCACTCTCACAGCACCATAAATTACATTTAAACAACCACAAAAAAACAATTATTGTTTCCGATATTGATTTAACGAGATGCTGTTATAACATGGAAACGGCTTAATTTAAAAAAATAAGCTTCAAAAATGTTTTATGAAGCACACTGGGTACAGCCCTGTAATACATGTGTTCCGTGTGTATATAGTGTATATAGTCTTACGCAAGAAACACATAGCATGAACAGACTGCAACAAAACCAGTCTTACAAAACAGACTTCTGCTAAACTGGTGCAGAAGCAAAGCATCTGCCTTAGATGAAGTTCACACAGAACTGTGGAAAAGGGAGAACATCTGTACTTGCTTTCAACGACATGATCAGGCTTATATATTATAAAAGTGTTGGCTAAAGTAACGCAGAATATATATTTTTTTAATTGTAAATAATTAGAAACATTATTTATGTGCACAAGTACACACACATAACAAGCTGTACCGAGTTCCTCCGGCTGCAGTGTGGCAGAAGAGCGCTGGGAGCAGAGGGAGGTGAGTAGACGGATATGAAGGATGACGGATGCGACGGAAATACACCCGAACATATCTGGTAGCCCGAACATATCTGGTACTGACACCGGTACTAAAATTAGTTCATGAGACCCGAAAGTCCCTGGAGAGCAGGGACTTTCGTGGGGGTAAAAAGGTTCCTATTTCTGATTGGCTGGGCGGAATGCAAACCACGCCCCGTAAAACTCCCAAAAAGTTTTGTGAAGCCGCCATTTTATTATCCTTGCATTAGCATTATTAGCATTAGCCCAGCGCAGAAACGCAGAGAGACTAACTTATGGCAACACAAAATAAAACATGGGAGCGGTGGAGATGAGGAGGTGTCGGCGTTCTGGCGATTTACTCGGAAGGCTTCAGTAGAAGCTGCTGGGAGTCCCAGCAGCTTCTACTGAAGCCAGTCCCCAACTCCGGGGACTTCCGGCCGGGGACTTTGGGCGGCAGTATACGCCGTGAAGTGGTTTGCGGCCTGCCAGTAAACCCAAAGCAGAAGAAGAAGAAGTGACGTCAGCGGCTTCATTTGCCTAATCCACCCCCAGGGACTTATTCCGGTGTGAACGCGATCTGTACTTAGTTCATGAGAACTAAAGAGTTCTCATGAACTAAGTTCTCATGAACCTTTGTGGGAAAAATACTGCGGTGTGAATGCGCCTTTTGTACTTCTACACCACTGCAATTCAGAGGTGAATAGTGTACTACTACATTTATTTAATATCTTTAGTTACTTTACAGATTTGGATTACGGATGTGAAATATAATCAACTCTTAAATCAGACTTTAGTTACACCTGGAGTAAATTCACAAGCTACCCTGCAGTATACAAAGTAGCTGCACCTTTACCAGCTCAACACTTTATACATCAATAATTATAATCAAAACATATAATATATATTATTCTGAGATGGACCGATCTGCAGAATAAGTACTTTTGCTATTAAGTATATTTTGATGCTAACACTTGTGTACTTTTACTTGACTAACATTTTGATTGCAGGTCTTTTACTTGTAACAGAGTATTCCTACACTCTTTTACTTCTATTTTACTCAAGTACAAGATCTGAGTAGTTCTCCAACCTCTGCCTTTATATACATATTTGAGTTGAAGTAGCTTTCAATCTAACAATCTGACTGCATTTCTCCTCAGTGGAGGCCACCAGCAGCAGATGTTGCCTACCTGTTAAGGTTTAAAACATGCCATTAAATACACAGCTCCACTCGTTTATAGTTGCTGCCAAAGATACATGGGACGGATGCCTGACTGCTGACCTGAATTAGCTGTTTGATGCCTTTGGCTGTGCCATGGGAAAAGGACAGTCTGTACTTTGAACAGTGACAACTAGTTTCAAAGGTGGGGTAATGTTAAAAGGAGAGCATTTCAAGAGTGAGGCAGAACATTGGATGAATACAGTCGAAGAAGCTGGCTGAGACGGAGGGAGAGATGTGAAAAGGGAATGTTTTATATTACTCCTGATGCTGTTATATTTGTCTTTTAGTTTGAAAAAACAGAATAATATATCGATCATACATTTATTATCCTAATATATATCGTTTTTGTATAACCTCATACTTAAAATACAAGATAATTCAATAAGGACATTTTTCTTTAATACATTAATTAAGTGCAGGCGTCTTGCAAGGTTTAGAAATACAATTAAGGTGATTCTCAAAATTGCTCAGCCAGAGTAGATTTGTTTTTGTCTCCCAGTTAAACCGGCCTCCAGATGATAGGTTTCTCTTCCATTGTCTCTGTGATTACACATCCCTTGTGATGCTCATTTAAATATTGTCAGGGATAATGCCACTTGATTTTCTGCTGCTGAATCTTTACATAACATCTATCTATCAAAGTATCCATATAAATCATCCCTGACAGGGTATTTAAAAACAAATACACATTCAAATCATAAACGCCAAGTCACACAGCACCTTGGCACTGACTGGAGCCCAGCATCAAATTATCAGACTCTCGTCTTCTTCTCCTTCTATCAGTGTCCACAATTACATTGATTAATAGTGGCATTTCATTCTATTCTTTTCATGACTGGCAATTGCTTGCTGTGCAACAATGTGAACATGAAAACAATAAACAGCCAACAATAAACAGCCATGTGTGTGTGTGTGTGTGTGTGTGTGTGTGTGTGTGTGTGTGTGTGTGTGTGTGTGTGTGTGTGTGTGTGTGTGTGTGTGTGTGTGTGTGTGTGTGTGTGTGCGTGCGTGCGTGCGTGCGTGCGTGCGTGCGTGTGTGTGTGTGTGTGCATGGCCTAGCATTACTATACTTGTGGGGACCTACATCTGTTTACACAATCACGTGTGGGGACTCGCCTCCCTTATGGGGACAAATTGGAGTTCCCCATAAGGGGAATCATTAATTTTAGGGTGAAGACTTGGTTAGGTTTAGGATTAGGGTTAGGATAAGTCTCCAGGAAATGCATGTAAGTCAATGTAATGTCCCCTGAAGTGATGTATACATCGTGTGTGTGTGTGTGTGTGTGTGTGTGTGTGTGTGTGTGTGTGTGTGTGTATGTGTGTGTATGTGTGTGTGTGTGTGTGTGTGTGTGTGTGTGTGTGTGTGTGTGTGTGTGTGTGTGTGTGTGTGTGTGTGTGTGTGTGTGTGTGTGTGTGTGTGTGTGTGTGTGTGTGTGTGTGTGTGTGTGTGTGTGTGTGTTAACCGCCGGGCTGGGCCGCTGAAGACGCTGTGATGAGAAACAACGTTCAGCTACATGACTCACATATTTGGATGAACAAACAGAATCAGGATTTCATTGAACGTCGGTGCACCACTGGCTTGGAGACAGATTCCACTGCTTCATGAAAACACACTTTTGTCAAGAATAATCAATGAGTGTGTTCAGCCGTGAATCAAGTTGAGTGGCTTTAAAATACCTGCTGGTATCCTGCAGGAAAATAAGTGGTACTTTTGGTGCTTTGATTTTATTTAGCTCTTTTTTATAGGCAACCCTTTAAGAAAGAGAATATTGGAATGAGTGATGGGAAATATGGAGAAAAATGAATTTTATGTTATCTTTGAAGATAATAATACTAATAATAATATAAGTCAGTGGTTTTCAAACTG